TTGTTGTATCTATATTGCTTATTGGAGATTGAAAATCTATTGAGAGAATATTGCACTCATTGGATGGTACTCCGGGGAGTAAGTATAACTCAATCGCAAAGGCGACTTGAAGCCCTACCAAACTTGACTGAAAGAATTATAGTACGAACTATTAGGAACCACAGCGGTCAGGTAGCCTAGCATTAATTGCTGCACGTGGACCAATTGTTTGGGGTTTCACTGTTTGTGGAGAATTTTATCTGTCTAAGCGATACTTCTTCCGCGCAGTTCCAAAATCACAGATGTTTTAAATAATAATATGTTACTCGGGCATCGCTTTATCCAGATGGGGAGGAAATAATTCTTAACCATTTAGTAGTAGTAGGACATGTTAATTCGTGTAAATTGTTCTGTTCGCGGGGCCGTCACTTGAACCCCCAATCGCACTTAAGCCGTGTGCCATTGGATATCGTGGAATTAAACAGTAATTGCTGTAAGTGTCTATGTAAAGCCAATGAAAATGCCCTTCGCCGACAGGCATTTTTCTTTTTCCTTTTTTTTTTCATTATTAATTATGAAAACTGCTTGCAAAGAACTCATTCAAGTCGGTCCAAAGTGAACAATACATCGAAAGAATTCTGTCTGTGTCAGTGAATAGATTAGAGAGTACTTCAGTTCAGTACCTATTGTAAATAGTTGTTTTCTCTTATTGCTAAAAACATCTCATCGATAACGTATTTCGGTATCGTCGAGTGATATGTGAATGAACCTAAGGATCTAAATGACAGTATTTCTGTTATTAAGATTGATATTTTCCAATTGCCTTATGTCTTTCAATCAATCGTCTTTTTTCTTTCTTAATCGGATGACACTTATGCGCACACTTGATATTGACCTCAAGATGCTTGTGTGTGCTTATGCCAGTTAACATTATTAAATCGGCCGAGAGATCTTAAGTTGATGATGAACATTTATACATACATCCATGCAATAGAAATTTTGATTTGTTTTTCCGGCTGTTGCATAGCTTGTCTGTGACCATAGCTTGAGCAAAAACTCGAAAAAGAAGTTCGAAAAAAGAGATTTTTTTTTTTTTTTTAATCTCATTAAAGTTAATTAATTTATATTTAAGGATGAGGGGAAAAAATGTAATTAATACCAATTATGATATAGACATTATTATATTCGACCTAAGCCGAAGATAATCGTTCCTCTGTAAAGTAGTACATAGTGTGAAATGATAACATTGTTTGTATTTTAATAAAATTGTGAAGAGATTTTTTCCAAGTTAAGATTTATTTTCTCTTTTATGTTAAAATCATGCTATTCATCAAAATAATTCAACTAACTAACTGTTCTTGAAGATTCGAAAGTGATTCGATCTTCAGTTACTTAATTTAAAGAAATTCTCCCATTGCCTGCAGGCGGGCTGGGCAGCACGTCTCAATTAAAAAAAAAAAAAAAAAAAAAACCTTTATATATTCCATAAATTATTGAATTAAATCAAATATAATATGATTGAGATGAATAGAGATGACACTAGATGTAGTACTGCATCTATTAATTGTGACAATTGTAGTTTACATGAAATGATACGTGATAGTAATGTTTAGTTAATTGCGAAAAATGTTTGATTTAATTTTTGCCATTTGTCTTGTGCTTCTTCGGTTTGTTGGCCGCATTAATTGAATATTTAATCGGATTAAATTGAAAAATCAGGAAATTAAAATAAATCAATGAGGTGAAAAACAAATCAAATGACTTAACTAACTAACGTATGACAGTAGCCTCACCCAACTATTAAACAATTTTAATGACTTTTTACTTTTATTTGAAACGAAATAGGACTTGGAAGGGAAATAAATTGAAAATAAACCCTAAAACCTATCAAATGAACCCGAAATGTCAGCATACATCAATTTACTGGCATGCAAATCACTCTTCTCGCATACGACGAGCGACATATGAAATTTATATTCCGTTGACTTGGACATATTTGTGTAATTGTGTGTATTTGTGGGTTCGCATGTTTGCATGTTTGTGTTCATAATTGAAACGATAATGATGTTGATGATGACGATGATAATGATGATAATGATGATGATGATGATGATGGTGGTAGCGAATGCGAACAAACAAACAAACAAACAAACAAACAAATAAACACAAACATACATATATGCACACACACACACACACACACACACATACATACACATACACATGTACGCACAAATACGCAAGCATACACAAATTCATACTTACAATCAGTATGGAGAGTTAGTTACCTTGTGTGTACATTGTTGATATCGAAACTGTAGTGTCTGGCCGTTTTGAATTTGTTTCACGTTGACTACTATTGCTCGTGGTGGTCACAGCGAGTTGATGTTGTTGCAGCTGTTGTTGTTGTTGTTGTTGCTGTTGATTATAAAGTTGTGCTTTTTTCGCCGCGTTTTGTGTCGGTTGTAAACCATGTACATGACCACCGACAGTACCACGCTGTTGTAATTGTTGTTGCTGTATGTGATGATGAGGCAGATGATTTGTCGTTGACGCTGGCACTATGGCAGCATGGCCCCCCGTTAGAGCCATGCTTGTCATTTGCCACAGACTATCACTAAAATCCGATATGTTGTTGAAATTTTAGAAAACCTCGCGAATATTTATTTTTATTTTTTTTTTATTCCTTTTTGTTGCGTTTTGTTTCTCTTTTATTACATTAACAAGTCCTTTTTTGTTTTTTTTTTTTTGGTTTTTTTCTTCAACAGTTGTGTGCAAAAGTAGATTTTCTTCGAAATCCTCTCTTATAGCCACTGTTCTAAGTAACTCACCTATAAGGTGTATTATCTTAAATATAAATTTTTTGTTGCGTATGTGAGTGCGTGCAAATATATATATATAGCATGCTGGGTAAGTACGTATCGTTTTTTGTATGTGTTCGTAATTCGTAGCTTATTTTAGAAAAAAGCGAACGACGAAGAAGAAGAACCTGCATAAATTCATATATAAAAGGGGGGAATTGTTAACAACATATAGCCCGATATTATGGTTTTTTCCATGTTGTTTTTTTTTTTAAAAACTTAAAATAATATTTATCGTTTCTTTTTTATCGTTTCAACATACTTTTAATGATATTTACTGTTTATATTGTTTTTTTTTTTGAATTTATTCTCCCCCATTATAGGCTTTTATCTAAATCCTATACTACAACACGTACACTCTATACAAGTCATATATAGGACATGAAGTAGATATATCGTCGCTTATAAGCTATAAAAGCTTCAGTGTGAACGAATGGAAAGGCCATAAACAGGCAATATATAGTTTCTAAATGCGTACAACAAATATGGATCAAGCAATTCAGGACCGTATATTCATTTATTGAAATGACCTTACGCAAGTAAAAGTATTGAAAAGCATTCCTATTCACTATAATAATATAAACGAGTATCGAGGGTCGAGTAGTCGGGTATAAATATTTCTCATTTATATTATACATAAAAAATTCCTTTTCTTCGCCAACAAGTCTAGAAGAATAGAAATGATATTTAATATGCGATTGATTCCCGCATTTGTATACGCATTAGATACTAAAACTGTCTCCCTATAGCAAATAAAAAGCTTTAATTGATGAGCTGTCAATCCATCTGCGCCAATATTGACAAAATAGTTTGAAATTCTTATACATTTATTAGGTGGGTGATGGGTAACAAGGATTCGACCTAAAGCGTACATAATTTTTCTACTTATTTTTAATTAATTTCGTGCAATGCAATATGCATGCACATATATAAAGAGTGTAATACTACATTGTGCATAGCATAAATTTTATAAAATCACTTTTAAATTGCTTTCAGTTGAAAATGTTTAGGAGCGAAAGTTAAGAGCTGATGCATCTCATGAACCGAGCGAATGAAACTCAACATAAATTTCCAAAGTTTAAATTGTGAAAGCATTGTTGACATATATTTACGCCTACGCCAATAAAAGATAACATTTTCCTATAATTTACATTTTAATTTAAAAAAAAAAAAAAAAAAAAAATTTTTTCAATTATATTAAATTATGCGAAATTTAATGAGATACGAAAAACTTTTTGAACAAATGCTCGCAAAACATTTAATCCAAAGCAATACTATTTTCTGTAGACACTACATTTTAGCCCCAAGGATATACAAATAGTAGCAATTTTTTAAGCAGCATCGGAAGCCATTGTTTATTTATCGCTTAATAAAAGTGTTAGTTTAAAAAAAAAACAACAAAAAAAAAAAAACGACTTGAAACACAAATGTTTCCAAGCCTCGGTCGTAATTTACTGCAAGATCAATCAAAAATATTTGCAATTATTTCTTCAAAATTTTTCAACGAAATGAGTGAAGTCAAGCGCTTGTTTAAGCCATGTTGATGCAAAAGCTTTCTCTACAAGGCGATTTTTATCATGTCATGAACATGAAAATCTTATTATTTGCATGCTCAGAGAAAAAAAAGGCCTAACGGTAACCATTGTTAATGAATTATATATATATATATATATATAAATGCTGGCTATCAATATTGAATATCACCGTGAATACCGTGTGGCAAGTTTGTGAAATGAAATGTTCATCCTTAGGATAGTATTATTAAATTTCAATACAATCATGAGAACAATACGAGTTAAAACACTAAAGAGGACCATAGTCCATCATTAAATCCCCTACACCATTTCGTTTTGTACAGTTATTCATATAAAAAACCGTTGTGTGAGAGATGGTCGAAAAAGTGGTCAAATCCCGGACATTTTCTTTAGCGTTCGCGCTTGGATAACAACATGTCGGTGTCTGAAAATTGATCAAAATATTGCAAGTTATGTGTTGAACACAATTAATACAAGATGGTCAGGTGGGCGGACAAGTTTAGATCGTTTCAAAGTTACTTACCGTAGAATACAAGGTGAACCCTTAAGACCTTAAATCGTTCTGAGTGTTGCCGACTTTCGTGCAAACTTAATATGCCCTTCTACAATAAATTGGGTAGATGGGTAGTAGGTTCGAAGCAAGATAATGATTCGAAATTTTCATTTTCAATGATTTCAAAAATAGAAAACGAAAGAACGAAAAGAAAACGAATCCGTCGGTTAAGTACAGTTAGCAAAAAAAAAAACGCACAATTGTTTATCAGGTAACTGGCACGATTACGGTTCAGAAAAATCTTTGCAGTCTTTAAGTATTCGTTTGCGTTACTTTTATACTCTGCACCACTTCAGGTACTGGGAAACCGGTGCCGATCGATTCAAAATCACTTTTTGAATCGATCTAAGTGCGGTCTGTCGAACTGTCCGCGGCGTATTCTTGCGTACAACCTGCAAGTTGCAATTTTTGAAATATTGTTAAATATAATTTGGTTCACAAAATTTGGTCCAGGACGAACGCTATTGAAATTGATGCGGATCAGTCCACTTTTTCGACCACTTCCCATATAATGTTGCAAAAAATTGCAATTTTCAAACTTTCTCGGCAAATGTCGCTAAGTAATAGCATCCCGACACTATATAGGTTCGTATCAAAAATTTATTTCGGCTGGGGTAATCTTCTGTACCGTGTCTAGTATAACCATTCCCACGAAAACATTGCATTTTTATATGGTAAAAAGGTTCCATTTTCAATATTTTGTAGTGAAAATTGATTTATAAGCGTAAATTGACCGAGGAACTATCCATCTTTGGACCGCATAGGTCTATTTTTTTGAGGAAATGTAAAGCCTTATATGCCAAAAAGGCTTAATTGCTAACGTTTTATAATTAAAATTTGTTCATGGCAGTTATTTCACGTAAAAATTAAGTGGACCAAATTTGACGCACTTAGGCCAATTTCTTGGACCTCATTCAATAGAAGATTTCTCAGGAATGGTAAGCCCTTCTAAAAAACGTTTAATTTTTAATATTTTTTGATGAAAATTGGTCCGTAATAGCAATATAGCGACAGATTTATCGGTAAGAAATTTGGATAACACAGATCAAATTTTTAAACCCTAACTAAGGGTTATTAGGATAAGCCAGCCTTTATAAGGAGGAAGAGTAAAATTTTTTTTTCTATGATGAAAACCTAAAAATAGTATTATTTTTTAGATGTAAATTAAGTTTGCTAAATATGGACCAGGACATGTGGTTTCATAAAAGGTATGTCTCTGCATGAAAATAATGTGTAATTATTGGCGTATTGTTATCAAAAAATGTCCATAACTGTACTAGGCGAAGTGGTGTAAAGTATCTTATACTCGGCCTTGCCCGACTGTAGTGTTCTTATTTTTTATTTCTTGATATATTTTCTATTCATTCTCTATATTACTTGTGCTACAAGAATATATTAACTTTGTGCCGACGTATGCAACGCGCTCAAGGACTTAAGATAGACCCAACTTTTAATGGGCCCAGTGACTCAGAGTAACTTTCTGAATAGATGTTGTCAATCTATCTGTCAGTTTGACATCTGTTCCTACATTTTTGTGCACAATCTACGGATCGGAATTTTTGAGATATATGAACGATTGAAAGATTCGATCCCGACCGAATTTAATTGTTTTATTTGTTTTTTTTTTTATTTAATATTTTTTTTTTTTTATAATTTCTTTCCACGTTTTAGTTTATATTTAATCCTTTTGTTTTTTTTTTTAATTATTTTTTTTTTTTTTATAATTTCTTTCCACGTTTTAGTTTATATTTAATCTTCTTGGATTTTTTTTTTTTTTTTTTTGCATATCAATAAAAAATAACAATATATCACAACAGGAAAAAAAAGAAAACTTTTTTTAAAGAATTTTTCACCTCACAACTTTTTTAATATATTCCTCATTGTTTTTGTTCACTGAACAAACTAACAATATTATCACATAAAATATTCTCAGTCTCGTAAAATTATTTAATCCACATAATCCTGTATAGGTGTGCCGTGTATAACCGAGTATGTGTTTTCGTTGCTTGATAAAAAATATAAAAAAAATAAAAAATAAAAAAAATAAAAAAGAAAAGCAAAACCTTAATATAAAATGACATCGCTGACCTAAAACTTTACACTCGTAAACAGTAAACAGAGATTCGACTTTCGGTTGGTAGAAAATAAAAAAAAAAAAAAAAATTTGTACAAAATAAGTTTTCAAATAAAAAACTGTACAAAAGTTGCATTTACAGCACGTGCAGTCATCGACATGTTTTACGAACATACACAAAAAAGTTGCTTATAAAACTTTTCGTTTTTCTTAACTTATTTTGCATAAAAACGATGGGACGAACATGAATTATGTCCACGTCCGTGTTATCTTTTTTCGGATACAAAGATTTTTAGATAAAATTTCTTTCAAATTTTAACGCGCAATTTAAACCTTCAGCGCACAAATTCATAGCCGTTAGTAGCGCGAATCAAATTTCAAAACAATCGCATTTTGTCCAACACAAACATCTCAATCCTCAATTGCTATCAACCGAAAGTTTTGTAAATATATATTGTGTTCTGCTAAGAACTACTGAAAGGTAGTGCATGAAAAACATAAAGTGCAAAGTACACATAATAATAATAATTAGCAGAATTTTTCGTTAGATTCAGTGAAACAAAGGACGCGCATTACTCTCTCTTCCCAGCCTTGAGATAAACTAACAACTTCAAAAGCCAAGTAAAAAAAAGTAAAAAAATTATATTCGATTGTGACCGAATCTTTTATACCCGTCATTGACTAAATGCAAAAAGGCGAAGAATAAAATATACATTCTCTACATTATCGGGTGGGCGGGGCTGATTTTTGTTCGATTTTCTGAATAAAGGTGTATTGCATTTTATAGAAGGTAAGAAGCAAAAAACACAGAAAGCAAAATTGTTTGCGGTTTTTATTGAAAAGTTCAAGTCATTTACGCATTCTTTTGCAAGTTTGGGAGGAAGGAGGCAATGCTTACCTTAACTACTGCACAGTTACGCAGACGGACAAACGGACATGCTTAGGTGCATTCAAAATTTCAATCTGGCCAAGAATTTATATTCTTTAGGGGGCTTTTGCAGCTGGCTTCTGTGGGTTATAAGGGCTTGCGCACAAAAAAAAAAAAAAAAAAAAAAATGAAATTATGACACACTATAAAATTGAGAAGGTGTGGCCACGTTCGAATTTTTGCAGACTTGTCAGCTGTAGTTTGCAAGTAACCAGCAAAAAAGCATATTTTCCCCTTTTAAAAAATAGAGTTATCCTCAGTTTATGTAGCACTGTAGGCGTGTCCTTCCACCGATTATGCCCATTTTCAATGCTAACCTGCGTGCAAGGAGTTTCATTGCATCTGCCAAACTTGAAGTCGATAGCTTCATTTTTGGCGGCCAGGAGAAAGTTTACATCAGACGGACAGACGGACAAACGGACATGTTTAATGCGGTGCAGAATTTGATGCTGCTCAAGAATGTATGTAATTCTGAAGAGGGTCTATAAGGCTTCTGTGTGACCGTTGCAAGTGTTTTGCCTTATCGTTCGGTGACGGGTATAACTAAGAAAATAATATTCCGACGAATGTCTTATACCTACCACTCTTATCTTAAAAAAAAAAAAAAAGCCATGGCTGAGGTTTTTTTTTTTCTTTTGTCAACATAGGCTTCTCTGCTAAACGCAAAAATTTTACGAATAAAAATACCATACCACCGGTCTCGAAAAACAATACCATTTGAACAAACCGAGAATGGGGTTTTTTCTCAATCGATTTTTAGTTTGGTTTGATTTTGCCGTTAATAGGAGATTATTTTTTGTATCTTTCATCATTATGTTGAATTTTCATTTTTTTTTCCTTTACTTTTTTTTTACGAAAACTTAACTTGCTTTTAACTTACATTTTCATTTATATGTATGTGCATTTGCAACAAAATTTCATAATAAAATTTTCATTATAAAATTTTGCGCCTTAAGACTTAGTTTCCATAGAATACGGCACACATTGCACTGATTTACATTGTTTCAAGGTACCTTCCTTATAATACGGTTTTGATACCGTACACGTTTTTCTTTTCGGAACTCTATTAAATATAAATTTAAATTTTCTTATTCTTTACGATATTTTAGTTTAAAGGAAAAAAACAAAAAAAAAAAATAGAAAGAATTTGTATAACATTCTTAACGTGTTAATCGAGCATAGCCCGTCTATATGTATGCTTAGAGGTTCACCCCGAAAATCTGTACAAAAAAATGTTGATTGTTTTATCTGTCGTAGCTTACGAGTAGTAAGTGAAAACCGAATAAATAGAATCGAAACCGCTATTGAAAAAAGTAGTTGCGATGGACGCGATAAACGACCGTTTCAGCGATTCGATCTATTCTCAATACCAACCAGTACGCAAAGAGTTTTCCATGTTCTTTCCAAACTTGAAGGCGATGTATTAATGTGTGCGTCTAGTAGAATGTTAGCTATAGACAGATGCATAGATATGAAAATGTCTAAATCGGTTCAAGATTTCATACATATACAGATATATATATATATATATATGTATATATATATATCTATATATATATATGTATATATATATCTATATATATATATATATATATGTATATATATGTCTGTACATATGGATAGTCGCTATTATGCCTACTTCTGTGTATTTTAAATGTTTTAACAAAATGCCTATGCCCCCTAAAATCTCAATGGCGGTAATTTTCTTAAGTCTTGCAGTTCTTTAGCGGAGCATGGTATCAGTGATTTTGACAAATCATTTCAATTGAAATGATTGCCGTTTACCGCACGTTCAAATCATTAAGTGAACAATTTCGACTGATTTACATACCATGTTTTTTTGTTAATGTGTAAACATGCATAGCATAAGGAAAAACTTCGCTCGAAAGATCGACTGAGATATTTGTTTACATACAAACGAAAAATTTTTGATTTGAGAAGAAGATGTTTATGCTTTTGTCTCCGCGATTTTATCTAAATTTTATTTAGGCGATTTCATTCATTTATATGCTTTATTCTCTTTCAAGCAAACGCACAAACCAACATACAACTGCCTCTTTGAAATCTAATTTATTATAAAGGCAGAGAGATAGCTGAATGGGCTTTGACGCTGAAATTACGGAAACGCATGAATTCAGTAAAATCACTTCAGTATATATGGACTATAAGAGCTTCTTTATGCATCCATTTTATGACGAATATTATATTCGAAAAAGTATCCCTTCTTCCATTCCTGGTGTCGGTGAGAAAGTAAAAAAAAAAAAAGCGAAAAGTTATAGGTATCATAACATTGTTATTCATATCGCGATAACTCAGTGCTCTATCTCTATGTGTCAACTTCATTTGTTCTGCTGTCGGCTAAAGGCTTTAACTATCAACTTTCGACGAATATGTCAAACGAGCGAATAGCCAGTGATGGATATATGGTTATATTGCTTCGAAATCTTATGTAAATCAAAAATGCATAAACTTTATAGCTTTAAAGAACTTTGCGTTGCGGCAATCGCGAGAATAGCGACGTAATTGTGTCATTAGTTCTGGCATATTTAACATGAAATTTTCTCCTTTTTTTTTCGATATTGTTTCGTTGTTGTAATTTACTCTGCAAAAGTTTTCATATGTGTGTTGTGAAATTTTATTTAGGGGAAAATTTCTTTAAATGATGCTAAATTAGAGGAATTAATAAAGAGGCGGGGTAGTTAAGTGAAAGAAGGGGAGAAAAAAATGTTAAAGTAAATAGATGGACGTATCAGACGGCGAGGATAGGTGATTGGCGAATAAATGCGGTATAAATGAGCATGAAGAGGAAAAGTGAACAAAGTAAATAAATACAATCGATTAATAGACAATTTTTTTAGCGAGACAGACGGACAGACCTAAACAAAAATTGGTTAAAAATTTCAATTCAATTAATAACATGTACACTTGGTGGAGTCTTTGAGGTCCGTTTTTATACTGATATTGCCCATCATTCTCCCATCGATGAATGATGATGAAGCTGAATAGTGAAGATTTGCTAAAATCTAAGGTGAAAATTTTACTCGAAAATCTTAACTGGCTTCAAAGAACAAGAACGCAGTAGCAAACTCACCGATACATCATGAACTGATATGTTGTTTGCAAATCCATAAAATACAATTAATTCATAATGCAACTCGAAAATGTGATATTAAGACTCATTGCTTGATTATACGCACAGCGTCCAAGAGTTACTCGTTTTATGTGAATGTCAATTTCTTGGTCATCATTATTAAGATATTATCATATATTTTATTATGTTTATAATAAAGTTGTTTTCTTAAAAAATTTGTTAAAAAAAAAAAAAAACTTACTTTTAATTTAATTATTTTCTTAATAAATAATACAATAAATTACTGTTGTTGTTAATCTTTTTCCCATAAAATTGCTTGTGTGGATTGTTGCACTGAATGCATTCAAACATTTACGAGTTGTTGGCAAATGTTTTTGTTTCTCATTTACAAATAATTTCTCTCGTATTTTATTGAAATTCCAGCACACAGTCAAACGTATCTACACTTAAGCAAAGTTTATTACGGTTTATGGAAGTGTGAACAAAAATTGAGTTTATAAATTATATATTAAATAAAGAAGAGGAAGAAGAACGAAAGGAAACACAACACCCACGCACATACACATATATATATATATATATAAAAATAGACACAAACGATTTTATATATATATATATATATATATATCTATATATATATATATTTGGCGGCCAAACACATGGAGGAAACAGTTACTGAAGCAAAGTAACTGGCGCTAGCTCATGTATACGAATCAACGTATTCACACACACGCACATACGCGCAAATATGCAGCATCTATATACTCGAAATATTTTATTATTTGTTCAGGCAAAAAAAAATAAATAAATAAGAAGAAGCAGACAAACAAACGTGCAAACAAAGAAATAAAACCGCTCACATACAGAAACATATATGCGAGTTAACAATTTGTGGTTGTTGTTAGTGGTTAAGCGCGTATAAATAAGCAACGACGGCAAGCGTATATATACACTTGTCATGTTAAAATTCCAATTTCAAACTGAACAACAGTTTGTTGTGAGAATGCTTAACTAACTGTGGCTACAACTATGGTTATAAAGCAACAATAATAGCAATAACAATAAACGATTCGACCAACGCAAGATGAACAAAAATGAAAGCAAAAATAACAACAATAATAATAATAACGAACACAGAGAGGAGAACTCATCATAAGTATTCTATAAGCAGCATTAAATCGAAGACAGCAACTAACTAAGTGCACTGTGTGTTACTAGTGCAAGTGCAATACAGAGCACATTGCCTGTTCACATACACGTTGGGATCTTGTATTTACTTCTCTATGAACATTGCACACATTTATGCCAACTTGAACGTGTCCTTTTCCTTTTTTTTTTTTTTTTGCATCTGTGTGCCTTTGTGGAAATGTGCTGTATACGTATATATGTGGCGGCGTGTAAGTGTGATTGTATGCAAACTATAGAATTTCGTTTACACACTTAAACATACGCACACACTGACATACATGTTTATATATATATATATATATATATGCACATATGAACATATATATATTTGCACATATGGACATATATAGCAGAACACAAGCCGTTCAGGATGACTATTGTTGTTAACATTTTTCAACATGAGAGGGTTATTTTTCGGAATTAATTCCACTGCAATTGCTATTTTGTTCTCTCGTTTCTCACTGCACTTCACTTCACTGCGCCTTTGCCTGAGCCGTTCATATAAATGTCTGGCTTAATGTGTTTTAGCTTCAAATTAAGATTTTCATTTCTCTACATGTACACAGGAAAGCATAGGCTACTAATTTCGTCATTCCGTTTGCTGCAATCTATCTAAGTTTTGCGTATAGTATGTATAAGTCAATACTGAATGCACGCATTCATTAATTATTTTCTCTTAAAGAATTCATTGGATTTGCTGTTGTCTGTTCGCAATAGAAAGATATAGAATTAAACAATGAAATGTTTTTTAAGAAATGAATAAAGAAAAGTTTTTGACATATATTGCTATAATGCTTAGCCCTCTGGGACCTATAAGATTAATAATGATTGTCCTAAAGAGTGTCTTCCATTTTTATGACACGGTTTTCTGGGCATTCAAAAATCGTCCCGACATGAACGTAGCTTCATTGTTTTGTTTTTTTTTTTTTTTTTTTTGCTTATTCTTTGCATGCTCATAATATAAATAAAAAGTGATCATCTGGTACTATTAGTGTTGATTTCCATAAAATTTAAAATACATATACGGATATATGTGTTTATCGTTCGTACTTGTCTGTGAAAAGGTTGTTGTGCCTGGGTGCAGAGATAACATGAAAAAAAAAAAAAAAAATGCTAAGCAAAGATGTCATAACAAACAGTGCGTTAAAATCTTTTGCTTTTGTTTTTTTTCAAATTTATCATCATTTTAAAAAGATTTTTTAAAAGCTATTTTTAAGAAATTTTAGAGCGATTTTAAAATTTCTTTTTACTTAATAATACCCATCAGCGAAAACCGAGGGGTATATTCATTTTGTCATAATTTTTGCAATACCGAAAAGGAAGTTTCAGACACTCACTAAAGTATACATATATATATACATACATGTATTTTTGATCAGCGTTGAAGTTCTGAATTGATTAGGCCACGTCCGTCCATCCGTCCGTCCGTTTGATGTGTCTCTCTGGTCGCAAAATGGAGATTTGGTAGAAACACTGGAAATTTCTGCACGCAGACTGGTCCGAGCACAAGCCCGCAGTAAAGCGTAAAGTGAACGTAACTCCGTTTCATTACTCACGAATTAAAAAAAAAAAAAAAATATGGCCATGCCCACACAAAGTCACAAGTGATTAAATTTCCTCTTATTTCACTTTTAAGGTAAGGTAAACAAGACAGATTGTTCAGATTCTTTACATTAAGTTATGTTAATTCGAAATTAGTTATGGTGTTGACACCATGACCTGGTGGCTAAATGTTTTCTTAACATAAGCTTTCAGTGAAGTAAAAAGTGAAAGATATATTTTATCGCATTCTCTTTTTTATGACAAGAAATAAAAGCATGGGGCTGAGGTAATAGTGATGGCCAGATGAGCATCAACTCGAGCCGGGTATAGCTCATTATGATTATAATTGATTTAACCAGAGAAATGACTTGTAAGACTAAAGTCTTATAGCACTAGCGTCCAAGGCGATCGGCTTTATTGAAAACTTTATCACAATTGTGATCATCCAGTTTATCAAAAGTTCAGCTCGGATATACATTATCTGCTGTCTTATATGTTTATTCTTCATACTAAAATTATTGCCTGGGCAAAAACGAAAGCTCACCCTATGAGTTTTCTAAACCTATATAGGTGTAATATTTTTTACTTTACTTAAAACAGACACCGCACATAAGAAAGCATTAATAAGTAAATTCTATGAAAATTTGTGTTCGAAAGCTCATAAATAAAAGGCGATAGATATAAAAATAACTTAAGGAAAATCATACGCTAATGAAATAAATTTTTTGTGTATCAAGCTTGTTATTATGTTAATAGAAATGTTAAGAAAAGAATTATGTAATCAGTAAAGACTTTCGTAATGTAGACGACAATGAGTCAAATGTGTGGACCTATATATCGCTTTAAGTTTTTTATATGCCTAATACTTAAAAAATCTTAACAATGCTTAGCTCGAGTTTTCTTTAAGGCTACGTGCGCGGTCGCTCTGTCTCTCTTTTGACAAAGCAAATTTTAATTTATTGTAACGATCATCTCCTAAACATTTAAGAAGTTTCCAAAAATATTAAATTATATATAGGTCTCAGTAGGTTACGCCTAATGTTATTTGGGAGTTGGCCGTTGAAATTGGTAGACATGCAAAATTCTGTATTCTGTAATTCTTTTATCTGCTGTACCGCGAAAGCTAATGAGCTTTCGGCTCTAAGATGAGCTTACAAGCAAGTAGGTAGGCTCAGCCGTCAAGCGGTTTCCGATGGCATTCAGGAAATTTTTTGGGCATTTGTATTTTGAAATAAGGACGAGAGAGAATGCATTCCAGGACGTTGAATCCACAGTTCTTAACTTTTGTGCTAAAAGAGTTATCGAGAAAATAAAAGCGCTTTAACCCTGCAACCTATGTACAAAAAACTTCAATATTTATCTGCAAAATGCATTATCGAAACTATGAAGTAAAATATAATTCAATCATTTTTATAATGGGAATTTTTTTATTTAAGATGTTTCTCGGGCTAGGCACCCATTATGAATAAAACTTCGATTGGCAAGTTCAAGCAATAACTCAGTACAAGGCATGGGTCACTAAATACCTATGCTTTCGAAACGAAACTTATCTGACGTAACGTGACGTGATTTTAGAAGAAATAACTTATATGAGATTCCGTCAGCGTATGCCTAAAGAAGCGTAATGGACTCGATCTATTTTCATTATATTACATTTATGCGGAGGTATGCATCACCTAGAAGGACTTGAGAATGACTCATCTCTAAGCTCTGCAAACTATATTTATATTTGTAGTGCCTAATCGTTCCTATCGTTCAGATATGATCGGTTAAATATTTTCATCCATCCTTTACACTTCTATGCAAAACAAATTAATTTAAAACACTTTCTACCGAGTTGTCGTACCGTAGAATGGCATAACTGCTCTCGCTTGCTTCTCTTTAATCTTCTTTTTTTTTACTGTTTTAATAGATGTCTCGTACCATCTTACCACTATAAGAACTTTTTTCTCAAGATCTTAAAGTTTTTTTTGTAAGGGCGAGAAAGTTAACGTGCCAGGTATTGCTTACCTGTTGGTTACTAGCTCCTCTAATCCGCTCACATACAGATGTCTTTAGAAAGTACTTATGTTCATTTAAAAGCCCTTTAAAATCAAATTATGTTAGTCTAGCTTCGTCACGATGACCGTTGAATCGATCAATGGGGCTGAAAGTAATGCAAAAACTTTCAATATTTCTGCCAAGGCTTTGGAATGAAGGTTTTGGAATTAGCCATTTTCTTGCGGCTTTCTCTGATATTTCGCTATAAAATACACAGAGCAAGACGTGCGATTCCGTGTCATTTTTTTTAGCCGAAAACGTTCGAGGAAAGAGAAACGAAGATCACGGTATGGAAATACAAACAGAAAATATTGCTTTAAAATATTTTTAAAATCTTAAACATGGTTTCCACGAAACACAAGTTTTGAAAAGGTCAAGCTGCATAATTCCGATAATTGCCATTTTTTTTTTTTACAATATCTTTAAAGTAAGACTCTCTGGCGGAATACGTAGAATATTTTTGATAAGTTTATTTAAATATATTTTAATTAATAAAAATAATCATCATCAATGTGGCAACTCTGTGCTATGCTTTGTTGGCAACACATTTGGTATCGCAAATTTATTGAGACCCCATTACTTCATACTTTGTAATCGTTTCAATGATTTGCATCCAAATTTTTCTTTTATAATAAAAAAAGTTTAAAAGAACGGAATTAAATAATTTTTTATTTTATCTTACTCTACAACAGAATTGTACGTAATTCACTGGTTTTATCTAGGCGTGTAGAGTAAACGATTTTGTTCGTTTTTTTTTTTTTTTTTTTTTTTTTTTTTGTTTAAATTTGGACCAATTATATTCCGCAAGAACGGTTGCCGAATCAATTCAATAATTCTCGCTTTCAATAATTTCTCGCTTTCTTCTTCAATCGTTAAATATATGCTGAGTAACTTTTTCTTTCAGTGTGAAAAAAAAGCAGATTTTTTTTTGTGAAAAAATCTTCTCTCCCCACCTCTTAAGCCGTTCGAGGAATGCGAATACTTGAGATTGTTTGGAAGATCACCCGAGAGTTTTGCTAAACGTATTTAGTAAATGGTTCCAAAATCATTTTTTAATTTACAAAAATTTACGTAACAAAATTTCAAATAAATACTTTTTTTTTACGCTCAGCAGTTTTATGTTCAGCATAAGTAATCAGAACGAGTGCTACTAATAGCTCATGTTTCGTTACAATTTGTTTCCCGTTGCTGTTACTGCTTTATTGCTAATTTGTACAGCTTAGTAACGTAAATGCATTACAAAACACTTGTTGAACATTGTTGATTGTCCGTATGACCGAGCACAACGTGAGTCCGCAAACTTTAACTAAATTATGTTGAAAGCAAGCGTTTTATCTGTAAACTGTCATAGTAAAATTATGGTAGTCGGTTAGCGTTCGTAATGTGTTTACTTTGTTAACCTTTTACTAAATTTATTTGGGAAACTTTTACTTAAATTTTTTTTTTTTATTTTTTTTTATACATTTGCAAATTTATTTATTTGTTTTCTCTTTCTTGCTCGCTTGCTTTTATTTCCGTAAACAAAACATGAACAGATAAA